AAGAAAGAAAAGGTCTTCCACAAGGAGGAAATGGTGAGTCTTCCCACTGTGAAACATTTATTCAGTTATCCAAAAATGAAACACAGCTCAAACCACAGATCAGCTTTAACATTATTACAGAGTTCACCACAAAAGTCTTTAGCCTCAGGTGTCAGGGACGCCACCCCCAGAGGCACTCAGAGCAAAACTGGCCCAATCTGAAAGGCCCAGGAAAGCTACCCTAAGAGCTCAAGGGCTCATGTGCCAACAAAAGACAACAAAAATGTTGCAAGTGGTAACCAAATATAACCCATGGTTTCCTCAGGCACCATAGATACTGATAATTGAGAGAAAGTTAGAAAAAAAAATCTTAAAAGGGCACATGATCAAGGAAAAGTTATTTCCCATGAGATTTTTTTTCAGCTTAAAATTTAGTCCACTCAGTTTTAAATCCATTATAGAGCTCACAGTCAACAGCTCCTGCTTCAGACACAGAGAAAACAAAACCACTCCCGGCGGAGGCTTCTACTCCCAAGGCAGAGACTCTGTGGGAAGAGCAGGCTTTCCAGGCACAGGAGTCTTTCCAAAGCGGTCAGTCATGGCTGCTGGAGGTGTTTGGAGAGAAACCAACTGGATCTAAAAGTCAGGAAAAAATGAACCAGCCCAACTCTATCTAGATATGTATAGATTCCTAAAGAGGCCACTGAGAGCCAGAAGTGTGAAAACAAAGAAACCACTGTGCTCCACTCCTGCTGCCGCTTCTCACGGACCCCGGGCAGGGAGGGAACAAGCCTGGTGGGCACTGGTCAGCAGCACACAGCAGAAACCAGAGTTCTGCCAAACCCAGAGCTGCACCTAGACGGGGAGCTAAGAGGAACCCAAATGCCCGCATCTCAGCTGCAGAGAAAACACACTGCACAACCTGGCTCAGGGCGTGAGGCAGACACACCTTTATTCCAACATTCATCTCCTACCTGTGCCCACTCTAGGCATCCTGGCACCAGCCCTTTCACACATATGCAGGGTCACCACTTTTACATCAACAAATCGCAGCAGCATTGGTGGTCGGCAGTGAACTATATAAGCATAGTCATAACAACCCAGGAGCCAGCTACAAACACCTTCTTCATTCACAAGTGGCAGAAAAATGGCCACAGTTCAACTGACTTTTGAAATATAAATAAAAATTACACCCAGATTCTTAGAATGAGTATTGGGGTGGCAGGCATATAGAGCTAGGCGGTGGGGCACAGGCCTGAGCCAGCACCAAACCAAAGACACCAGCAAAAGGAGAGTTACAGAGATCTTAAAAATCACCTAGAAACTGGTCAAAATACAAAAGTCAAACCCTATAAAAGTTCAGTGTCAGCCCAAAATACATTAAAAGCCTGATAATCAGATTTAAATCATGCAAAATTTTTTAATTTCAGTGATCAAGAAAACACAGCCAATAAAATATATAGTGATAAAAATCAGGTGCACACCTCTACCTACATTTGCTATTAGTTTCTAACTAGACTAAATCTCTATTTCTTTAAAGACATTTTACTGGGTTAAATCTTGTGAAAGACTTTACTGTGTTAAGTAGTCTTAACATTGTGATATGTTCACACTGGCCATCAAAAAGTTGAGTCTTCTATGGGTAAAAACATAAGATTTCTCATTAAAGGATGCTATTCATGCAATACTAAACTTAAAAACTAAAGTTTTCATGTGACTAGGACAACTTATTGCTAAGCTCATGGTATTCTAAATATATCCATGCCTTCCAGATTTACAGGTCTTCCAAGATGTAAAACTAAGGTTGTTTATGATGATAAACTTTTTCTTTCAGACTCAGACATCTGTCTTTCTCTTGTACTCCAGTGACTTGTGATAGGAGGTTCAGATAAAGCCACCATGATGTCACCAATTAAATGATAACTTTTTAACAAACTTACATGATGTGTGTGCTATATATGTGCCAGTACAGTTAGAGATGCTTAGAAATCAAACAGTCCAGACAGTGTCACATAATTATTCAATGCCATTCCATTAAAGACAACAAATTAGTGAATTTCTTATGTACTGGATATGGATGATTAGATAAAAAAGGCTATTCTAATAATAGATGGAGATTTGTGTTTGTTACAAATAACATTATGAATGTCACATTAAAGTACTATTATGGCATTTGACCTCAACTTTTCTCTGTAAAACTGTATAACTGTTGTCTGTTAACGTTCTACAGGAATTCAACTCCTAAAACATCCACTACTGACCAAAAAAATAACAGTTCTCTGGCTATACTTTACAGTTCAAAGTCCTTGATATTTAGATAAAATTATACTTAAGTTTACTGCTCCTACTGAAATAATAATGTCACTGATCTTCTCTTCTGGATGTTTAATAATGGAACTTTGTGGATCAAAACTAAAAAGATAGATAGGCTAAGCAGACACCAATATTTTGACCCTGGTCCTCTGATGTCAGTGAGGATCCAGGACATAAGAGAACCTTTTCTGCAACATTTTACAACTGAGTGAGTCCCTTGATCTCCTAAGCAGGGAGATCGTTGGACCACATGGGTCAAAAAATCTATGGTGTGTACGGTGCCTAGGAGAGCCTGGTTCCAAGGTAAACTTTGACAGACAGCAAGAGGTGAATTTTGATTAATAAAGGATTCACTTTAACTTGATTTTAAACATCAAACAAGAATGTATAGCCAAAAGATATATGAGAACAATGTCATAAATATGTTACATACAAAAAGAAATTCAAATTGCTAATCCCTTCTGACAGTTTCCACTTGTATCAGTAGCTGACCACAGTTATGGGTCATTAAAAATAAACTACAGTAAAAACCATAAAAGCTCCACAAGAATACTTGAATGCTTCAGGTAAGATCAACTGAAATTAAAAAATCTTATGACAAAATATCAGAACCCATCAGTAAGAGCTCTAGGAGCCAGTAGGTTACAATCGCTATTCTAACACCATGAAAAGTCTCTAGACTTGGCTCTTTCTCAAACCTGCTTTTCCATTTTAATGCTCATGCACTGATTATGAATGCTCTAATTTCTTCCTATATGGATAAAATTACATTTGTGGGCAATGTTTCTCTCCTAAACTATTAAGATGAAACTCTCTCTCTCTCTCTCTCTCTCTCTCTCTCTCTCTCTCTCTCTCTCTCTTGATATATACATATCAACAGAAAAATCTAAATACACAAACCGTACTGTGAAAATTAATTCTCATCAATATCTTTTGTCAATTTGCATAATATAGTAGGAAGTGGATCCAGTTAATCTCAGAGGTGTTTTTAAAAGGAACATTAGTCATTTGGCATTTTAGTGCATTACAAATTACTGCTTCAGCAGTATTTAGCATCTGAAAATGATTTTAAAGTGTCTTAATTCCCCACCACCACAGTGGTCACACTTCCCAGCCTGTCCCTCCTGTACCATCAGTGGACATCAGCCTTATGGCCAACCACAAAAACCCATATTCTTTGCCTAGGGGCCTTTTCTTGACACTGGAACTTATTTTCCCACAGTTTTATCTAGGCCAAATAATTAGGGGAACCCCAGAGCAGCCCTCAGCCAAGGAACAGCTCTTTCTGAGGTTGCACCAATCTGAGAAGTATGCTCCCCATCCCCGGAGATGAGAACTCATCACCTAGGATGGACGTAACATCGTTTTCGTGCTCCCTTTAAAACACAAGCAAATCCTCTGTGCCCATAACCTTGTCTTACGGGCTGCTTCTAGAGTAAAAAAGAAAAAAAAATCTAATAAATTATTTATCAGTCCCCAGGGAGTGTCAGGTGAGCCATGCTGATGCGCTTTCCTGGGGAAGGACAGGAGGACAGATAGACCTCTTCTGATAAAGCTTTCGTGGTCAATGCAGCAGACTCGGGCAGCGGTCAGTTTGCTCTCCACTTCCTCTCCCTTGCATCGCGTTTGACTTCTCTAATCAGGCACCGTGGACAAACAACACGCAACACCCCACACTGAAAACTAAGACGATATGGTGCCCAGAAATTCCGGCTGCGGCCATGGCCCTGCTGGGGTGCTATCATGCACTTTCACTTTCTGATGAGCTGTGCTTCCAACAATCTGCCTTTTAGACACCAGAGAATTATTAAAAGATGATATCCTTTCTCAGCAGTTATTGTGATGCTATTTTTGCTTCTCTCATCATGGAGAACTGAAATCAAAATTCAACGCAAATTAGTCCAGTTTAGTTTGTGTTTTAGTCTCAAGCAGAAAACTCTGAAATACGTGTGATAAAAGTAGTCACTCTTTCTTACCCATGGTATCATGCTGTCACTGTTTGGGTAGTGACTATCTTTCTAAACACAGTCTTATACCTAATTTTAATAGATTTTACACATAGAATTGGCTCCCTAAATCAGGGTTCAGGGGGAGCCATGACCATGACTGTACATCTGCTGTTCATCTCCACACCTTCCTTCCTTGACATCTTCACCGACACAGATCATTACATAGTACCACAAACAACAGTCATTTCCCGGCCGAGTGGCTTATCCTGTGATTGCACTGCAATCTAGGGTTAGGCAATGGAAGAAAATGTTAACTTATTACAGAGACAGCAAATCATTACGTCCACTGCTTTCGCAAAACACAGTCAAGAAAGGAATCAAGAAAGGAATATATGGTAAAAAAGGAAAGTCATAAAGATCATATTTTATGAGCTGGGGATAGTCAGGCAAGCTTGTAACTTCACTCAGGAAGCTGAGGCAGGAGGATTGTCAGTTTGAGGCCAGGTTGGTTTACAGAGAAAGACCATACACACACACACACACACACACACACACAGAGAGAGAGAGAGAGAATTGTTGAATTTCCAATTCACACTTCGTTGTCCGAAGTCCTCCTTGTCCCAGGAGAGAAACGCATCATTTTGATAAATGCTATGCACTTTTAAGAAAGGCCCTGTCACACTGTCTGAAAACAGCTGATGGAAAAGAGCACCCTATCCTAAGAGGAGAAAAAAAGGCAACCCAGGAAATTTAAAGTCATGAAGTCACTCTACTGCCCTTTATTACATTTTCATATATTCAATAATACAAGCAAGGAGTACAAGTCTTGGGTAACTACAAAACAGGTACATTTACACATAGAGTGAAGAGGCAAAGGGCCCATTCTGCAGAGAGCCTCATCCTGCTGACCTTCAGTGTAGGGGGGTAAGCATGTGACCGTAGGCTCACGGCTCCTCTGAACTTGTCAGTTGGCCCCAAGCTGCGATAATCAACTTTTCAATGTCAGATTCATTTACTCCTCGAAGAATCTTAAAATAGCCATTCTCTCCCCATGACTTGCCCCAGGAATTGGCAGCAATCTGCAGAAAAATTTAAAAATGAAACTGTTGAGTATCATATTTTGCAATTCTTATCCTGTGTATAAAAATACTGGGACCTCGTATATAGCCTTAGTTGCCTTTGATGTGCTACAGACCACAATTAGTAACCTAAACATTTTCTAAATAACAAATAGAGGAGCTATTTATGTTACATTACTATGTAAGTATGCATATGTACTGGCACTGTAATTTAACACACGCAAGTGCCTGGAGTGTTACATAAATGACAGTGCACAGGCCTGGGTTACAGATGTGGACAGCAAGCAAGACCAACCCTGTGAGGTCAGAGGTAAATCACAGATTGCTCTGTGTTCAGAGAGCCGGTGATGGGATGCAGGATGGCTGACACCGCAGCTTCGGGGAAGCATGCACAGACCACTGCGGGTACCAGAACACTGCGCCTCACCCATGTGGATGGCTAGGAAGAGACCCTGGAAGAATGATCACATGAGACACAGAAGTTGGCCAGATTAAAAGGGAAGCAAGGGGACTCCATTCAAGGGCAAACAATAAAAACACAAGAAAGGAACAGCAGGAAGCAGTGAACAGGAATAATGAAGCTGTTCTGACAGACCCGGAGGTTGAGGGCGGGCTGCTGAGCTGTGAGGCTGGGAGACAGGGGCCTGGATACAGGAACACCAAGAGCACAGGTAAAAGCAACACATCAAGCTGCTTCGGGCAGGTGAGCTAGCGGAGAAATTTACTTTCTGATTACATGGTTTGAGAGGGGACATAGATTTAAGAGCATAGAGACAAGAGGCAGGGAGGCTAACTAGCAGACTCTTGTAATAATTCTCTAGGGAGAATAGAAAAAACATTGGATAAATCTTCAGAAATTAAAATCAATAGGAATTTGAGTGTTTCCTTTCCTTTATAAGCCACATGGATGATTCGAGAATTGGGAGAGATCAGAATGACTTCCGGGTCAAAGCTGGACTGATAACTACATGGCGGAGCACAATCATTGATGGAGAGCACAGAGTACCAAGGGGTTCCTGGGGCGCATGAAGTGAGGAGGTTCTGTGGCCACCGCTCAACAGTGCAGACAAACCCAGACAATGAGAGGCTTCGCAACAGTGGTGGCCACACGGGGCTCACATTCACTCCCACCGGGGTTGTCACAGAAGATGTCTAGAGTGTGATCTACGCGGATAGAGTCACAGCAGATGGTGACACACTGAGCTCTGTTTTCCATCTTTTGAGAAAGGGCAGATCCACTCAGCTTCAGAAATCATCACCACTCAGCTTTCAGAAACAGATGATTATCATCAGCATTTCTTTTTAAGATTCTGATCTTTGCCTCCTTCATCAGCTCTGACACCTTTAGAAGCACTCTCGAATATGTGTCCAAAATTTCTAATTCAGTTTACGACTTCAAAGCTGCAGTGCAGGTTCAACAGCTGGAAATGAGACCACACTGCAGTGTGTCAGATCCTGACCACTCTGAACCGAGCTCAGTTCCAAATGCCGTGTTTTCTAGTCAGTACCACTGCATGTTTGCCAAACGCCAGAAAGTCAAATAACAATAATAGCCTAGAATAAATTACTGCAAATACAAATATTTTTAAATTCTTGAAACTATGTAGTGCTGTACCTGTTTTCATTTGGATACCTGGAGATTACCACCATGCAGAATTTCATTATTACATTTTTGGTGAATCTGGTAAGGGTATGTGAAGAATTTTCAAGACAATGCAAATTTGTGTGCTAAAGAGAGCTAGCTATAGATTTATAAAATGCTGAAAACATTGTAAAGGGTATGACTTTGTAAATTAGTGCTAATTAGTGACACCTCAGGACATCATATTTATTCATCCAGCATCTTCTTACTTATATATTGTCTATTTCCTTACCTGTTTGATTTTTTTCAAATTCCTGAATTTGTTTATGTTTAATGATTATTTTTAACTTAGGTGTTGAGATACATGTAAAGTATATTAACCTGAAAGGTGCAGTTTTATGAATGTATGCTTGTGTCTAGACCTGCATAATTACCTCCTTATATTAAGATTAAATAATTAGATTAGATCGATTAACCGCTTGTGGCACAGAAGTCCTGCATAAAAAGAAAGTCCCTCCACTTTCCAGTAAACATGCCTGCTTTTCTCCCATCATGCTCTCTTGTAATTGGTCTTTATAACAAGGTAATAATCCAGCACAGACCCTTTCGGATGTGGCTCTTTTACCTCAAAATAATGTCTCTGAAATTTATCTATGCTTTGGTATATGCAGGTATATAAGGAATTTATTCACTTCATTATTATGAATTTACATTGCATGATTATGCCATGATTTCCTTTTCTTACACTTTATTTTTCTATACAGTTAACATCTAAGCAAGTTTTTTAAAAACCAAATAATAGAGCTGGGATTTAGTTCCGTGGCATAAGTGCCTGTGTGGCAAGCTCAAGGTTACGAGTTCGATCCTCCAGTACCAAAAAGAAAGAAAGAAAGAAAAAGAAACCAAATAATATAACAAGTCTTATGATAGAAAATAGTGTTCTTAGGGCTGGGGTCCTGAGTTTGATCCCCATTTCCCCACCACCACCAAAAAAAGAAAAGAAAACAGTGTTCTAGCCAAACCCTCCATTTCTGTAGTAACTGCCCCTCCCAGGTAAGCAATGTCAGATCATTTAACTCCTTCTCCTGGCAGTAGCCTCTAATTTCTTTTTCTTTTTCTTTTGTTGTTGTTGGTGTTGTTTCTGTTGTCTTTTAGAGACAGGGTCTTGCTATATAGTTCAGGCTGACCTTGAGCTCACGGTTTAGCCCAAGCTGGTTTCAAACTCATGGTGACCTTCCTGTCTCAGCCTCCTGAGTGCTGGGATTACAGGCGTGTGCCACCAAGCGCGGCTCAGTAACCTCCAATTTCTAAATACACACATGTATTAGATATTTCCCTGCTCTCCTATTTGGAATAGTCTTTATTTACTGCCCCTTACGAAATCTGAAGATAAAGAATCATGTGTGGACATACACACTGTCTCGTCCTCTCCAAGTATTTACATCATGTCTGGGGTTAAACCAATATTCAGTGTTTACGTTGTTTTCTCTATGCAGACACTGACAAGAGAGCCCTCCAACTTCCTGTCCAATTCTCTTGATAAGCAGTGCACATCAGTACTTACCGTCCACATATCCACAGTGTGAGGCTTCTGGCTCCTCTGCACCCTGCTCACACTCGTGCTGTCGATCTCCTCTAATTTTCCAGGCTAGGGTCTGTGTGGGGATGTCTCACCGCGGTCTTCACGGCAATTCTCTGACCCCTGGTGACGCTAACTACCTGACGTACGTCATTAGCCTTTTGGATTTCTTTTTCTCTGCTGCCTATTTGAGAATGTTCTCTAATTCCAATATTTCTTTTTGTCTTTCTACATATTTGTATTCTGTATACTATTTTATATGTGAGTCCTCCTAAAATATTTTTCTAGACCTGTACATACATAGATAAATATTCTTAGTGTGACACTTTCCTTTTCTAGCTGTCCTTTCAATAATTGCTAGATTTCATTTTTTTCTTATAAATGTAATTCATTTTGCCTCTAGGTTAAAAAAAAAGCATTACTCAATTAATTAATATATTATTTCTCTACATTTTCTTTAAGAGTTTTATTATGTTGTAAAAACATTAGGCATATGGCACACCTCAACATCCTTTTGTGTATATTTTGTGTGGTCAGAGTCTGCTTTTCTGTTTGTTTCTCACACACATGCAGTACCTATGGACGGGAACTGGGCAGCTGAGCTCAGAGTCCAAGCTGGCCAGTTCCTATTTTGCTACAGTTCACAATGTGCTGGAGTTTTCTCTTTATCAAATAGGATGGAACCTCATTGTTGTTTTAATTTGTATTTCCTAAATAGCCTGGATGTTGAACATTTTTTTGATGGTGGTTTGTCAGTCTCCTACTGAGAATTTCTCTGGCTGTGTTCATTGAAGAGACTGGCCTGTGTTTCTCTTTCTGGCTGGGTTCTTTTCAGTTTAGGAATCATTATACCTTTCTTTTAAGATGCCTTTGGAAGTACTGCCTCCCTTACAATTACATTAACTTATTTGAGGAGTTTGGGCCTTAGAGCTTCTCTAAATTCTTGGAGAACTTGGCAGTGAATCTGTCAGTACCTGGGCTTTTGTTAATTTAGGGTGATTTTTTAAAATTACTTTTTCGACTTCATTGATTGATATTGGATTATTTAGGATTTTTATACGTTCTTAGTTCAGCTTCAGTAGTTCGTATCTGTAGCAACTAATCCATTTTTTTCTGAATTTTCCATTTCATTAGAATACAAGCTTTCAAAGTGGTTTCCAATGACTGGATTTTGGCAGAATGCATTGTGATTCCACCTTTTCATTTCTAACTCCATGAATTTAGAGCTTTGCTTTTCTTATCTTGGTAACAGTGGCTAAGAGTTTGTCTATTTTGCTTACTCTTTTGAAGAATAAACTTCGCATCATTAATTCTTAGTCTACTAATTCTCTATTTCATTAATTTCTGTTCCAACCTTTATAATTTGCTTCCTTATCCTAGCTTGAGAATTGGATTGTTCTTGTTTTCTGGAAACTTTAGATTCACTGTTAGATTATTTATTTGAACTTGCTCTGTTTTTCATTATGGGCATTCACCACTATAAATTTTCCTCCTAGGATTGCTTTCACTGTTTCCCACACATTCTAGTGTGCTGTACTATCATTCTGTTTGATTGTAGGAACTATCTTACTTCTTCTTTAATTTCATCCATGACCCACCAATTATTCAAACTGGTATTATATAATGTCCATGCATTTGCATAATTTCTGTGGCTTCTTTTGCCTTTGATTTTTTCATTTCGTTGCACTATTATTTTATGCAGGGGATAATCTCAATGCTTTTGTTTTACTTAAACATATTTATGGGTTAGTATTACCTATTCCATATCTTTTGGAATAAGTCTTATGTGCTGCTGAGAAGAATGTGTATTTTTGTTGTTGCTGTTAGATGGAAGTCTCG